TCGATCTACACTACGGAGCTTTGATCAAGCAAATAACAGTTTACCACCAGAAGTTGAATAAATAAGATCTTTGCTCACGGTATTGTTCATCGAATGGTACATAATATTTCACCATAACATATGATATGTAAGAGAAACGAGAGAAACAATACTTACGGTCATAGTGGAATCTTCATTAGCCGCCATTTTATTTCGCTCCGGAGCGTTTCCGCGTAAATGAAACGCTCCGTCGTGCATGTAGGAGCGTTTGGGTTATACACCGTAAAGGTTTTAATGAAGCGGGATCAAAGCGTGAGGAATAATATGGTTTGCCAACCTACCCTATGTATGCACGTGTTGTTTACGGCCCGTGTAGACGTGAAATTACGCCCGTGCAGACGTAATTTACGCCCGTGGAGGCGTTAATTACGCATGTAGCTTTAGTCTAGAGTCAATTTGCAATTGATCAGATACTATAATTCTAGTATCTGAACACATCGGGGATACATTAGCGATCTGACTGTATAGTGAGACTGTAAGCTGCAATGCATGTCCCTACCTCTGAAGCCGACGCCTAGATTGGAGAATTATCCAAAAAATCATCGTATTTAGAAACCAAACATGTATACCTTCTCAAAATATACTGCAATTTTGTCGTTTCTACAATGAGTGTTGATAACTGCCAACACAGTACATGTCTCTTCAATTTGCCTTTTAATTTGCTCTAAAAATTGAATACTTCTTTGGTTAAATCTAACAATCTTGAACGAATATTTAAGGACCTCAAAGCAACACACTAAAATGTAAGCAGGCTTCTGATTGTTATTCACTTGCGCAAGGATCTTGGGGTTGCTCTTTAAGCAAGGATGCATTAAATCATAATGTACACTGTTGCTCATAAATATGGAATATCATATTTGGCAGCTCAGAATTCAAATTTTGGAGTAAGAGAACATTTATTTGGAGGCGGTTGAGACATTTATTTTCTGGGCAAATCATAACCACATATTTCATCTACAAATCAACATTTTTGGGGGAAAAAATATTCACATTTAAGTTTAGAAAATTACTTTTATTTAAACAGGGGTACGCTAAGAATTTTGGCATTTTCAAAACACCCCGATCCAAATCGTCATGTAAAACAGAGCAAACAAAATAAACATCTGGTCATAAAGATTGAAGTGTTCTCTATCAAATAATAGCACTTATATGCGTTATGTCCTCTTTGTGCTGCAATCAGAGCATCAACCCTACGGGACCAGCATTGAATGAAACATTTGACCTTTCTAGTGAAATAAGGCCCCATTCCTCAATCTGAGCAGTGCGTAACGTGTCTAAATTTTGAGGTTGGGGTCCAAGTCACGAATCTCATTACCAAGGTCGTCCCACATTTGCTCTGCATTAGCCTGATTGGCTGACGTTTGTGCCCATAGTAGCTGGTCCACATTGCCTGCCCTGATGTAATCCAATACAATGCCACTCGCATATGCAACAGCATTGATCATTCTGCAGTTGAATGTTGCCCCAAAACACTCTGTTTACATGTGGTACTTGATGGAGGTCCAAAAGGTCAATTTACTCTGAAATTATGTTTGGGAATCACCAAGGGGGTGCAATTTCTGTAGTACTGCTCCAAAGAACCTCTGTAATACTGCTCTAAACATAAAAAGGGTCGCCTTTGTGGACTGGCACATTTTGGTGACATAAATGCAGCAGGTGGTGGTCTTTTCTTACATTTTTCTATCTAGGCCTACTATTGCTGTGACCTGGAGTCACATTTCAGTGCCTTTGGTATCACTGCAGAATTTTAGAGACTGTTCCTGACATACCCCTATGGTCCTGGCAATGGTAGTTTGTTTCATGCCAGAGAGCACCATCCCTTTGACCTGCTATGCTCTTTTTCGCTTATTTTATGGGACGTGCCTTCTAAAAACTCTTCCAACTCTAAATTAAATCTTTATAAAATGTGCACAATGGTTAAAAACTAAGATTTGGACACCTCTTTCAAGTTACCAATATCATGAGGTCATGGAGTCACCTGAGTGAATGCAAGTTTAATCAACCATAAATGTTTTAACTTCTCATACTAATCAGTTTTATATGCAAAACTGATGAGGGAATGAAAACACATTACAAATTTTCACCAAAATGATATCATTTTGTATAAATTCCATCGAACAGTTCGTATCTATAAAATATTCCATATTTATGAGCAACAGTGTAAGTAAGGTTCTGATTGGTTCATAATTTACGCCGCGAAAAATAAACTCGACGGGCGTGAATGTTTCTCAGCGCGTGTAAAATAACCGTCTTAACGCCCATAATTATCCCATCGAACGAAGTTCGGAGGGATATAGGGAACGCCTCCGTCCGTCCGTCCGTACGTACGTCCGGACGCGTCTGTCCGTCCGTCCGTCCGGGCAATAACTCCCGATTTGCCGATTTTGTTCATATTTTGTACACATATACCCTATGGGGGTAGAAGTTCTGCTAAAAAGCTGATTTTCAAAATGGCCGCTCATTTAAAAATGGTGGCCATTTTAGTGCCGATTTTACAGTTATTTAGGTGCAATGTGTAAAACTGTGATAGCATTATGTTTTAAATGTAAAAAAATTATATAGGACATTGATAAAGCTAGAAATGTAGAAATTAAAATAGCACATGGCAGCCATCTTGAAAAATGGCGGCCTTTACTCGTTATTTTACGATTTTTGCTGTAACTCAAGAAGTATTGGAGCGATTTTGTTCATATTTGGTATGTGAATACTATAAGCATGGCTCACTGTCTTATGACACTTTTGGTAGGAGGAGGCCATTTTGAAAATTTGCCGCCATTTTGAAAAATGGTCGCCATTTTAACATATTTTACTTTAACTCAAAAAGTAGTGGAGCGATTTTGTTCATATTTGGTTTGTGAATACTATAAGCATGGCACACTGTCTAATGACATTTTTGGTAGAAGGCGGCCATTTTGAAAAATGGCCGCCATTCTAACGTATTGTACTATAACTCGAAAAGTAGTGGAGCGATTTTGTTCATATTTGGTATGTGAATAATATAAGCATGGCACACTGTCTAATGACACTTTTGGTAGAAGGCGGCCATTTTGAAAAATGGCCACCATTTTAAAGTATTTTACTGTAACTCGAAAAGTAGTGGAGCGATTTTGTTCATATTTACCATGTGAATACTATAAAAAAAGCATATTACTTCTTCTGATGACAAAAAATGGAATTTGAAAAATGGTCGCCATTTAAACGTATTTTACTCGGCCTTTACTCGTTATTTTACGATTTTTGCTGCAATTTGAAAAGTAGTGGAGCGATTTTGTTCATATTTGGTATTCGAATACTATTAGCATGGCACACTGTCTTATGCCACTTTTGGTAGAAGGCGGCCATTTTGAAAAATGGCCTCCATTTTAAAGTATTTTACTATAACTCGAAAAGTAGTGGAGCGATTTTGTTCATATTTGGCATGTGAATACTATAAAAAAGCATATTACTTCTTCTGATGACAACTTTCTTATGTGTGTTATTTTATGATATTTGCTATATATTTCATTTGTAAAAATGCCAGCTATTTCTGTTCGATGGGATTCGCTACGCTTTGGCGTTGCCTTTGTTCTGGTTAATCATTTTAACGCCGTAAGTTCACGCCAGTAAATGTTATCTGAACGCCCGTAGAATTTACTTCTTCACGGGCGTAATTTACGCCTACACAGGCGTAATCTTTCGTCTGCACGGGCGTAATTTTACATCTGCACGAGCGTAATTAACGCCTACACACCCGTTAACTACACGTGCATTCTTTGGGCGGGTAAGCCAACTATGAGGAACCGTAACAAGTCGGGAGATCGCCGTTGGTGTGAACATAACTTTAATGACTACTATTTCATCCTATCTGTGTTCAAACCCTTAAATATTCACAAAGTATAATTTGATATACTTCATTTTGAAATTGATTTCCTGAAATAATATAATGACCCTTTAGGGAAGGGTTAATATGTATTTTTACATTCACCAATAATACTTATGAAGTTGTGATTCTGAAAGCTGACACTCTCAATGGTGTATTGAAATCATAGTGCAGATGAAGTCTTTTATTTGACCCTAGGTTTCACTAGTATTAAACACGGATTGAGATGCATTTATAATTACGTACTTCAAAAAAGGAACTGCGAAACGAAAATTATCGAAAAACGCATCCGTAAACGTAACGAGATGTGGATGCGGATACGTTTTAGCTAACCCGTTACAATCATGCGAAACCTCTCTAATATGTTACGGCTACGGATCCATTGAGCTAAAAAACGTTTTGCGAAACCTTTCTAATAAATCGACGATTCTGTTGTCTTCTGAACTTTGTTCGCAAAATGTTCTTAAGAATATGATAATATTGACACAAGTCTGTGATAAGAAATGTCGTGGAAATTCTGCCTACAACGCGGTGAAATAAGGAAAAGAGAAAAATTGTACCTTCGAGGTTCCGACATTTTGTTACCGAAACGGACCAGCGTAATCGAGTGGATCACCAGTATGCACTTTTGCGTTCTCACTTTTGCTTTCATATTTTCCCAATTGTAATTGTCCGGGGTTTAGTGACCTGATTAAATCTGACCAATCACAAGTCTTTCCAATGGTAGGACCATTTTTCCACGCGACGTATCGCGTCCTTTCAAAAGATCCCTAGATAAATACTATATTTGGTTTTAATTGCCTTATCCATGAAAAGGACGGGCTACAAATTACAGAACCATAAAGTTGAAATGCTTCTAGCCACTTTGGAATTCCATTTTTATTCAGTCACATATCTATCTGCAAGGGGATTTCACATCCTTGGCCTCTGGTAGCAACAACAAACTAGCATGAAGAAAAGATTATTGGAGTTTGCCTGTGCGTTCTAAGTTATTAATTCAATATATCAAAATTTTCAAAAAAAGAAAAGTGAAATTTGTTCGAGAAATATTTAAAAGCCTAATTTTTTCGTATATACTTTATGGTTCTGAAATTTGTTCCAGAGATGGACTGTGCCTGGTACTGTAAGGATTGCAAGCCAGTTTGGACAGATGTCTCCAAAAAGGCATACAAAATGGCCGCCCGTCAGTGTGGGACTTGTTCTAAGGGGGTCAAGTCTTCAGATTCAACATATTCTTGTGAAGCGTGCGCAAAAGAGAAGCAACGAGGCCCTTCATATTGCTTTGTTTGTGAATCACTGGCAAAACAATCCACGCCTATAAAATCAAAAAAGAATAGAAAGCAAAATAAGCAAAATAGGAACAAGAGACCCAAACCTAATCACCAAGGGTTCCTTTTCAAGAATTTCTTTGTCATAGGTGGTAGTAATTGATTCATCCTCTGCTCCTGCTGATCAATTGATAATAAAAATTGAGAACGAAATATATATTTTTGTTTTGACGTAGATGTAGAGTTCAAATATCTTTATCATATGTTTAATTGTATGCGCACGTCAGAATAGCCTGACAACGATAAAGTCAGATACCGTTGTCACAAATGGCGGACATAACCGTCGGCCCAACTCTTCAGTCACTTGGTCCTCATTTTTCATGGGATTTTATCGTTGCTAATTCTGTGTACTAATTAAGCTCTTGTGATGATGTATCATTGCCAAAGAAGCTGTTCATATTACCTTCGGATACAGGATGCCCTGATGTTATCTTCTAGGGGGCGCTCCGTAACGAATCTATGACCTGTTGATGCTGATCTAATATTTTCTACAGCTTGCTTCTTGTATATTGTTCCTGAATACGTATAGTATAATCTATGATTTTGAGAGAAATCATTTTGATCCACGAGTTGATATCAATATCTGGACGAGTGAGCGTAGCGAATGAGTCGAAAAAAAAATTGACAAAAAATTATTGAAAAAATCTAAATCATCGAATATCACTTTTGAAACCATCGAATATCACTTTTTGAGAAGTGATATTCGATGGTTCGAGAAGTGATATTCGATGGTTTGGGGATTTTTTGCTAAAATATGATATCTTGATCCTCATATCAAATATATCTTCACCTGATATTCGATCTATATCCGTGTAACCATGGAATAAATACAGAATATCACATCATTTTGAGTGATATCACTTTTATCGCCGAGTTGATATCAAATATCAACACGAGTGAGCGAAGCGAATGAGTGTTGATATTTTATATCTACGAGGCGATAAAATGATATCACGAGAAATTATGTGATATTGGGTTTATCCCGTGATTAAAATCACCTTGTGATGTTCTGATCCAATTTCCAGGACATTGGCAGACAATGTAAACTAGAAATTAGAATATCAATTGAATATTTGAAACACTTTATTTTAACAATTAAAAGTAAATAACATGATATAGTTCGTCATAAATACCATTTTTTAATCGTTAGTTAGGAGCCTTCTAATCAAATTATGTACATAATCGTAATTCAATGCACCAATGAAACTTAAAGAGAATAAATTAACGGACCTATTTTCTCAAAAGAGAATAAATTATCTGACCTAATTTCCAACAATATTGTGGCGCGAAATGCAAATGTGATATCACATGGATATGCGTGAGTAAACGATATCACACGCATATGAGTTTGATAAACGATTTTCTGGAAAATATCACACGGATTTCAATAATATCAGAAATATCAATAGCTGTTATTGCACAGATAACACATTAATCGTGGGATAAATACGTGTTATCCCACGATTAATGTGTTATCTGTACAATAACAGCTATTGATATTTCTGATATTATTGAAATCCGTGTGATATTTTCCAGAAAATCGTTTATCAAACTCACATGCGTGTGATATCGTTTATCTCACGCATATCCGTGTGATATCACATTTGCATTTCGCGCCACAATAATGTTGGAAATTAGGTCAGATAATTAATTCTCTTGTTATATTTTATTATATTTTATTATTAAAATGTGATTGTAATCATGGGATAAACCCAATATCACATAATTTCTCGTGATATCATTTTATCGCCTCGTAGATATCAAATATCAACACTCATTCGCTTCGCTCACTCGTGTTGATATTTGATATAAACTCGGCGATAAAAATGATATCACTCAAAATGATGTGATATTCTGTATTTATTCTACATATTTGACCTCAACTATGGGATAAAACTTCTTATTCTAGGTTTCTAGGCTTCTAATTATGACTAGACTATTAATTGTTTCATATCTCATCTCAGCTCAGGTTCTCATTTATACCCTTTCTCTCTAACTCTATTTCTGAGATCAGCTGACTACTACCAACTGCCTGTAACTTTTTCTCGACTAATTAATCTTACTTTTTCATAGTTAGAGACCCATGCCTCTCTATCGTTTCAAAAAATTTACCCAACGTTGCGGTCTCTGTTAATTTATGGCATCCATACTTTTTTGAAAGGTAACACTTTGAGGCTCAATTTTTTGCCGGATGCCCTTGCAAACTCTCATTGGTTGCTCAGTATTGTAGCATTCCGTTACCATGGTTACGCATCTATAGACATCTTACCTTGGAATCTTAAATCATTTGTTACTTTGTCATTATTTGGTCTATAGAGATGATATTGGTATCAAATTAAACCTTATTAAATTTCTCATAAAGTAATGATATTCAATTATGCAAATTAGATAATTTGCATAAATTGTGACGTCATCAATCAATTTTTGATTCAGAATTTTCGAGAATAGCAACATATCTATTAGAACTGAGACCATATGTCAGAATTTCGGCAAAGTTTTGCCCTTTAGACTATAAGAAGAATGTTTAAGCAACATAAAAGTGAAAACAGATTCAAAATTAGATCAGTATTGCCAAAGTTATTAAACTTTCGAGGCAGCTACTCTGAGTGTCATTATTTGACAATTACATTCAGACGTCTTACCATGGACGTTTAAAGTGTTTGTAGCTTTGTCATTATATGGTCTATAGAAATGATATTGGAATCAAATTAAACCTTTTTAAATTTCCTGTACGATTACAATACTCAATTATGCAAATTAGCTCATTTGCATAAATTGTTACGTCATCAATCTATTTTTGTTCAGAATATCCCAGTTTAGCAACATATATATTAGAACACTGTGGCTAGTCGATCAATGTGGATGCAGTCATGTATATGCAATGTTTCGTGGGTTCTCGCGTACATTATAGTGAATGGGGTCGTTGAAAAAATATGACAGAAAATCGAGGTAAGTGATCTCAGAGTTTCTACTTAACATATTGACTTGAAATCTTGCATACATATTCAATATACATAGTATGACAATGTGTGAAAGTTTCAGCTAGCATATTCCTGTTATAGGGAAGATATTTGAACAACATTTCGTAAACGTCAACATATATGTATCAAATGGATTCAACTATGTATCATTTGGATTCAGAACGGTAACAAATGGATGCTATAATAAATTATGCTTTTATCATGATGATTTATTTACAGATGGACAACTGGCCAGATTTTCTTTGTATCCATTGTTCGGATAAACATTCCTTATTCAGTGAAGTAATTAGCCACACCATTACAATACACCCTCATGAAGAATTGAAAATTGATAGACTTTATATAGACCCGTCAACTGGAAAATGCCATTACAGAAGGAAAAACTATGGTTTCATCCCTAATAGTGTTTATTTGAAAAACGGGTCCATAACATGTAATGATGACAATGAAGATGTTGAAATTAGGTACGCCAATCAAGTGAATTCAGAGCCCAAGAACCATCAACCCACTGAAATACCCACAGATCAAGTTTTAGAGCCATTAACATTCCTTGAAAGTGACAATGAGCAGCCAACAGACGGACCATCTGTAAATCTTGGTGATTTTGTCAGCTCAGCTGTATTTACAATTTTTTTGAAATCGTGGTAAGTGGAATCTTTCCAATTACCAATATAGGATTATTATTGTCCAGTTGTCCAAGTTCAATTTCAGACTCCAGATCTAGACTTTTTAAGCCCAGTCATCCAGAATAAGCCGAGTCATCCAGAATAAGCCGAGTCATCCAGAATAAGCCGAGTCATCCAGAATAAACTGAGTCATCCAGAAAAAGATGGATGGATGGATGAAATAGGAAGGAGGGATAGGATAGAATAGGAAGGAACGATAGGATAGAATAGGAAAGCATGAGATAGAATAGAATAGCAAGGAATGATAGAATAGGAAGGAAAGGAAAGGATAGGAAGGATAGATAAGAAGGATAGGATAGGATAACATGGGATAGGATAGGAAGGATAGGGTAGAATAAGAAGGAACGATAGGATAGAGTAGGAAAGAAGGATAGGATAGAGTAGGAAGGATAGGATAGGAAGGAAAAGATATGAAGGAAAGTTAGATAGAAGGAAGGATAAGATAGGAAGGATGGGTGGAAGGATGGATGGATTTTTCAACATTTTCTTCACTTCTCTTGACTTTCTAATAGGATACCATAAGATCGATTTTTCTCGAAATTTCAAAACGCCATAACATAAGTCGGATCGAAATTTGGTTTGCAGATTCAGATTCCTTAGAAAATTCTATCCTTAATTCATAACTCATACGTTAAATTTAGAGAAGTTTTTATTTTGACCTACTTTTCAGACACCATATCTCAAAAGTGGGTCAAAATATTTTCTGACAGCAAAAAGCTAACACTATAAGCACACTCTTGGCTACATATATACCAAATTTCGAAGAATATAATTAAAGTGTAGTGTCAGAATCGAAAAAATGAGGAAAAGCTTTGAATTTGACCTGGATCTTGACCTAGGCCCTGGACTGGACTTGGACCTAGACTTGACTTGGACCTAGACAAACACTGGACTTGGACTTGGACTTTGACTGGACCTTGACTTGAACCTGGAAATGGACTGGAAAGGTATTTTTCAAATTTTTTCACTTTTTTTGACTTTCTATAAGGTTATCATCAGATCGATTTTTTCTCGAAATTTCAAAGCGCCATAACTCCGGAAGTCGGATCGAAATTTGGTTTGCAGATTCAGATCCCTTATAAAATTCTATCCTTAATTCATAACTCATACGTTGAATTTGGAGCACTTTTTATTTTGACCTACTTTTCGGACGCCATATCTCAAAAGTGGGTCAAAATACTTTCTGACGGCAAAAGGCTAACACTATAAGCACACTCTTTGCTACATGTATACACCATTTCGAAAATAAGGAAAAACTTTGAATTTGACCTAGGCATTTTGGTGTCCAAATTTTGAAGCTAGATGGCCTTTGAGGTTCCATTCTTTTAAAAGCGTTCGTTGTATTTAGCTGAACTCAGTCTATATTTCGTATTTTTCACCTCAAAAAATCTTTTTTCCCATTGACTTAACATGGGCACCAAATTTAGCGATTTTTGGGCTTTCAAAACGCAATTACTTCCGAACCGGAGGTCCGAATTTGGTTT